CATCTCGAAAGACTGTTGGTGAAGATCTAAGCACAGTAGCAGGTCAGTTGAGGAGAACAGAGGGGGCAGAACAAAGCGTGGTAATATCCGCCATGACCTCTCCCACAAGAGAAGCAAGCAGAGAACTTCAGACGCCTTCAAAGCATGTGCTGGATACAACACAAACTAGACAGGCAATAGACAGTGTTGTTGAGAAAGCTCCTGCACCATGGACTTCCCAAAATCCAATCACTGGATGGCAGTTGAGATACCAATATCTGAAAGCGTATACACCAACTGAACAAAGCCCCACAGAAACGAGAACAAGGGCTGCTCCAGAAATGGAGCAGACATCTTCCTCTCAGGCCAAAAGTTCTGCCCTTTCTTCAGTGGGAAAAATCCATGGAGCTATAACGCCATTTGGTCAGAAAGAAACTAGTATGGAAGTTTCTGGTTCAAAAGCCACAGTTCTAGAGCCTACAGGAGAACGGTCTACAGCGGTGGAGTTGGCAGGCTTGTTGGACATGGGAAGTAATGAGACAGACATTGGAATGGGTTCTCCAAGGTCCCCCCTATCTGTGGTGGAGGAACACTCCAAGGGACAATCAAAGAAGGCGTTCCATCAAGCCATAACTGCTGCTATGAATGAAACAGGCAGCCCAGCTTCTATACATCCAGCGGAGGATGTTTTGACTAACGTGACTAGCTCTTTATCTCTCTCTAGTTCCCTCGGGAACCCAACCACCATCTCCAGCCATATGGAATTGGGAGAAAAACGTCAGGGCACTAAAGTGGCAGGCCTGGCAAACATTGTCACCATTTCTGGCTCAAAGGGGAGGGATGTGGACGCAAAAAGTTCATACCATGAGAAATCAACTGTGCTTCCTTACATTCAATCTCCCAGCATCAAAAATACACACGAACCTGGAGAAGCTCTACTTCCTAGAAAGGAGACACCAGTTCCTGTAACTCTGGAAGCTCAAACAAAATACATGGGTTGGTTCACTTCTGGAGCACCATCATCTCTTCAGGGAGTGGTCACTGCCCATCCTGTTGCTTCAGAGTTAAAAGAGAACGGTTCCTTGTATAACAATTCTTCTATGATAACAGAATCATTTTCACTGCCACCACCTCACCTGGCAGGAAATGGTTATGAATGGGGGACATCCATTACAGGTGAGCCTCCTGGATCTGTTTCCTTGAATGTTACAGAAAGGCAAGTGGAGGTTGAAAGCCATACCATGGACCATGCAGAGTTGCCAAGCCAAATTCCCACTAGGGGGAAAGTGGCTTCATTAGCAATCGAAACCATCGTGGCTGTCCAGCCTACAGAGCAAAGCTCTAAGACAGCAGCAGGACCAGGGGACAATAGGGCTTGGTCCCAAACAAGCAGTGATATGCATCACCATCCCAGGTTCATCACGGAGGGATGGTCTCCATCTGCAGATGTAGAAAAACAAACACTGGAGAAGACTATAGAAACAGCATCTATGAAAGCCCTAGAGAGGTTACCAATGACTCAAAAGATGGATGTGGTCCACAGGGAAAGACCTAGAACCACTTTGACGAGACAATTTCCCACGGAACCATCTGGGAACCAAGTGTTCACCCAACTTGAACAAGGGGATGAAGAAACTCAAAGTCAACATTCTTCTACTTTGTCAATAAAAGCTGGAGCTGAATATCATGAGATTCAAACCAGCCATTCTACTAATAGGCTGAGGGCAATGGTGTCTCCAAAACAATGTGGTAAGAATTTAGCAGTGTCTGCATCTGAAACACTAACTTCACACATGGAGCACACTGCTGAGACATTCAGCTCTTTAAACAGGCAAATAGAATTGGGAACTACTGGCAAAAGGAGTCCAAAGCCAGAAATTCAAGAATCTGGCCCTACTTCAAGTCGGATATTTCAGCTAGGGAGAGAAAGAGATACTTCTCCCAGAGGTTTGGGTGGTTCCATGAAGCCAGGAGGTAAAAATGGAACCAATAATTCCACAGAGCATCTTAAAGAAGAGACTTTATCAGTGAAAGTGAAGGAACTCACGCAAACAACTCCAAAGAAAAGGACTCCAGAGATTACTGTGATAAGCGGTACCAGACCTGCTGCATTACTAACTGTTGGTTCTTCCAGTTTTTTCACCATTTTGGCTCATGGCAAGCCAACTCTCAACAGACCCCGAAGCCGTTTTTATTTAGGGGGCACAGATTCTGTAACACGCCCGGAAATCCAGTCTACGCGATCTCTAGAACTCAGCCCAGAAACAGAACTTTCCTTCCAGCTTAATAAAACAGTCTCTTCTGCAGAAGGAAGATCTATCATGGCAGCCAGCGCAACAGCAGGATTGACTGTGGGTGGGATGAGCTGGGTCACAGCTCATGTTCAGGAAGGTGCAGCTGGGAGACATAGTACAGGGCCTCCTTCATTAGAAATGCAACCAACGTCTCTAGAAGGAACAGCCCCACCGCTGGTCACAGGTTCCTTACAGTCTCCCGAGCTTGTGAGCCCCAAAGAGGGATCTGTTGGTGGCCGTCGTAGAACAGCTACTTCATCACCTCCAAGGAACACATCCCCCGTGGGCACTACAGTTGCACTATCTACTGATTTGTCCAGTGCTATCATTGTGGACTCTAGGGAAAACCAGACTATGATGCATTACGATTCAAAACGGGTCACAGGTATCCCTCCCAAAACAAGTGGAGAGATAGAGATGGACACCAATGGTAGCATTCTGGCTTCAGCTGAAATCCATGGAACATCTCATGCTGGAGTTTCTACCAGGGGGTCCCATGAGAAACACAAAGAACTTCTACAGTTCCAGCCTGAACCACAAACTAAAATAAAGCCTTTAGAGGAAGTCACTGGGCCAATATCGGATGGGAAAACTTCAACACGCTTTCTGGAAGAGACATGGAAGATCCTTACAAAAGAAAATGATGCATACAGATCAGAGGAGTCAGCTGCTGCTAAACTCACAAGGACTGAACCGGAAGGATCTGAACAAAGTCATATTAGCACAATAGGAGCCACCAGTCTAGGTGTAGAATCCTCATCTCAGTTAATTTCCACTAATTCCACCAAGGAAACAGAAGAATCCACAATCTTCAATGAGAAGAAATGGAATGTATATCACACTACCGCTCCTTCTAGCCAATCATATTCTGTTGCTTTCATTCCTCCCCATTCAAACGCCACAACACCAAATGTGGTACCATCTGTTTCTGATGTCTATAACCCTCATGATACAGAGAAGGTGGAAGCTGCAGATGTGTACCATATGGTCACAAAGTTCTCTAAAGGGGCTTTGGTGCCTACTGGAATATCTCTTTCCCAGCTCCAAACTCTTGGCTCAACTGAAACGGAAAGGAGGTCTTCTACAATGTATGGAGCCAAAGGTCTGGAAGAAGCCACTAAGACTCCCACAAGAGTGAAAAATGGAGAACTATTTACTCTTGCAACGGAATCATCCAGACAAATCTCTGAGACCCATGTTGCAGTGACACTAGAAGAGATGACTGGGGGCCATAAGAACAAAAAGAACCTAGAAGAAAACAAGTCTTTTTTTGCAAGCAATCCTGTCCATCTCCACCATATCAACAAGAGATCTCTGCTACGAATAATGGCAACTCCATCTTCTTTCATATTGTCTTCACTGGCTCCTGATTCTAAGCTGTTACACTCAAATGTTGGACATGTAAATCCCAGAAGGCTGAGTATAAAGAAATTGTTCCCAAAGAAGCATATGCGTAAAATCATTACGGCTTCTTCAGGTGGGACCATACAACAATTGCTTCTTCCTGGATATTTACAAGGATACCGGAGTCATCCTGCCATTTCAATAGGAAACATGACAACACCAAGGGAGCCTGAGAAACCTATATTGAGGTCCACTTCGAAATCCAAATTATGGACTCTTCTCCAAAAGTTGTCTCCTTCTGAGAAAAAGAGAGGAAATAACCAAGGGCCCAGCCAGAGAACAATAGATAACATTTTGATATCCTGCTCCTTCAAGGAGAACCTGTGTGGCTGGAAGCAAAGTCAAAATGACAGCCTAGACTGGATGCTTCAGAAGGAGGAAGAGAAGACTGCTGAGTCCATGGAAGACGACAGAATTTCTGAGAAGCCCTTCAGAAGTTTAGATGGTAAGGGGCATGATCTGATCTGAAGTCTTAAAAAGTAAAATGTCTCTCCCATTTCTGGTGTTTTATCTGGGTCTTCCAAATTTTTATTTATCTGCGCCTGTCTGTTGGTTTCTTATTTCAAATCCTCTATCTTTATGTCAGTTTCCTCTATTTTTTCTTCTGATTTCTCAGTTTCTAGTTCATTCTTTATGGTCATTTTCTGAACGTTTTTTTGCTTGTAAGTTTGAGTTGGAGAGTTGCTCATTTATGTTATTTAAATTATTTTTAGTCTCCCATCTTGCTTTTTTAAGGTTTAGCTTTCACAATCATAGATAGCTATGGGGAACACAAGCGAGCAAACTAACCTACATTTGGTTGCCAGGCTTATGTCCTTGCTTTTTCATACTCAGATATGGAGTAGGCCTCATAAATGGGTTTCAGTTTGGGTCTCTCCTTCTTCCCTCTGACCTCCTAACTGATGCCAAATCTCTGCCATAACAGAGTGGTTTTATTTTTCACTTACTTATTTACAGGATTTATATGACCTCTACCTCCTGCACTGATTCTCAGCGGCTCACAACCATATTTAAAACAGAGTTAAAAACATATCTTCCCCCTCAGGTGCCATACCAAACATCCTTCCAACTCAACACCACCTCCTAGTCCAGGGGTAGGCAACCTTGGCTCTTTTATGACTCGTGGACTTCAACTCCCAGAATTCCTGAGCCAGCCATGTTGAGGGGAAAGGGAGAGGTTTCCAAGCTGAGCCATGCTGGCTCAGGAATTCTGGGAGTTGAAGTCCACCAGTCATAAAAGAGCCAAGGTTGCCTACCCCTGTCCTAGTCTATGGGAAAAGTCAGGTCTCCACAGCTTTCCAGAAGGCTAAAAGGGGAGGGGTCTCTCTGATCTCTGGTGGGAGGCTGTGCCAAAAGAGTGGGAGGTCACCAAGAAGGCATGCCTCTGAGCTCCCATCAGATGGCAACATTTAGGGGAGGGGGTCGGGCAGGTACCGTCAGGGAGAGCCCGTCCTGCAAGTAACTTGGCCCTGTGCCATGGAGGGTCTTTCATGCTGATAACCAGCACCTTGACTTGCCTCAGAAAAGTAACTGGAAACCAGGAGTTGAAGGGAGGAGCTTCAGATCTCTTGATTATGACAGGCTAACTTGTGCCCACATCATTTCTTCACCAGGCTATATCTCCCTAAAGCCTTCAAGTCATCTCTCAAAGCAAAAGGCTGTTTTGATCAGCCCGGTTGTGTACGGCATCAGATGTCTCCAGTTTTGGTACAGATCACCAGACTGTGCTGCAGGTAAATGTCTTCAGCCCTATTGGCTGGAAAATCTGGGGGCTGCATTCCCAACAGGGCTGGGGGTTGCACTCTGAGAAGGGTTCCAGGCTGGATTAAGGCGATCCTGAAAATGGTGTGCCAAACATCCGGAGACGGATACATTTAGTCGCGACTTACAGCAGTAATTGAGCCTGCAATTGCACGCCATACATAGCTTTGGGAAGAGCCACTGTCACTTTGAACAGTCATTAAATGAGGACTAATTGTAGTGATCTTCAAGAGAAAAAATGTGGGTTTTTTTTTCGTTCTGTAGATAGCTGGTCATTGAGCTATTTATGTTTTGTAGGCAAAATCAACTTCTACACAAAGCTTCTGAATTCCACTGACTGGCAGAAAGTGAGGTCAATGAAGGGAAAGCAAGGTGTTGGTTGGCATCAAGTGACCTTATCTATTTCCACAACTTGGGCACTACAGGTAAACATTCGTGGCATGTCCTAAAGGCAGAAGTTTCTCCTGTCCAGTCATGTCTCTCTTTCTTAGCTGAGGGAGCCAGTGTTGTCCAAAGACACTTCCGTGGTCTTTACGTCAAGGGGCATAGAATGCTGTTACCTTCCCACTGGTGGTACCTACTTATCCACTCGCATTTACATGCTTTCAAACTGTGGGAGGAGAACAGGAGCTCACCCTGTTGCACGGTGCTTGGGTCTCAAACTGCCAACCTTCCGTTTGACAAACCCACTGTCTTAACCACTAGGCCACTGCCCCCCCCTCCATGTCCTAAGTACATATTGTAAATTAAACATGAATCAGGTACACGTTATGATACAGAGGAAGATCAGATGTGTTATTTCCTCCCCATCCCCAAATTCAACAACCTGTTTTCTAAGTAATCCTATCAACCCGCCTCCATTGTTTTTATGTTATATAGGATGACAGGTACCTTTAAAAATGGCTCGCTGGAAGCTTTCCCAAGATTTAAGCAAAAGATGCTGCCAAATTAGTAATTGTTGATGTTGCCACTCGACAAAACCCTTAAATCTGTAAGAAGTAATCATAGGGACTGTGTTTAATTATAACGCATTAAATGGTGGTGGTGACAGCGCCCTGGTCCTCTCTCCGCTTAGAATGTGTCCCCACCTGACGAAAGATAGCACACCCTTGAAAACTGTTTCCTTTTTCTCCCAGAAATGTAATTCAATTTTTTTGGGAACGGTCCGAGTGGTTAGAATGTGCTCTTTTCCATGTGCTCTCTCCACAGGTAGCGCTCGAAGGCATTGTTGGCAACGAAGTAAGATGTAATGCTCAAATGGATGATCTGGTTCTCTGTCAGAAGCCCTGTGGGCAGTGTTTACCATAGAATGATCAGCATTCTGTGTCACAAATTAATCACATAAATATAAAGCATACAGCAACCTTGGATTAACAGTTTCAATGATTGCCCTTCTTCCATATTTCATAGAATCTCTCCTCTCCTCTCCTCTCTCTCAAGTCCTGTACTTTTTTTGCATTTCTTCTTTCATTTTCACATACCTAGCCCTTTTCATGACTCTCTTTTCATACTTTGCCTAAATGGTTCTTATTCTGCATAATGCCCAGGGATTATATTCAGTGCCTTGGGAAAGTATATATCTTATTACAAAAACAGATTTCATTCTTTGCCTAAAAACACCACACATTCTATAGATTTCCTAGGCTTTCTGTACAATGCCAGCTTTTCACAGGTTGCTGGTAACATACATTTCTATATCCCCGCAGGCAGCAGCAGAAGGGATGAATGAGTTAGGGCTGAAGGGAGGAGGAAGCAGAACCAGACCGACAAAGGGGCCTACTTTGGCATGATCAATTTGCAAAAAGGGGCATTTCATGGTTCAGCCCTTTTTTTTTTTTAACATCAGTCACATTTTAGCTGCAGTAGATATTAATTTTAATTCGTTCACATTTCATGAGCGAGCATAGGTGCTAATGCAGGGACAGGGAGACTCTGAGTCTGTTGCTGTGAGTTGCACTTTGATGGAATTCTCTTTCCTGAATGCGGTTAGCTTAAGGAGTTTGCTTTGTGGCTTCAAAGAGATGGCGCCAAAGAGGTTGATCGGGAAAATGGATAAAATGCAGAAGTTATTGCTGTGGGGAAAGGTAGCATTAAAAAGTCAAGATGGAGGTTTTTAAGAAGAGATTGGACAGCCCCTTGTTCGGAATGATATTATATAGGGTCTCCTGCTTGAGCAGGAGGTTGGACTAGAAGACCTCCAAGGTCCCTTCCAGCTCTTATCTTTCCCAGCACTGATAGAGACTTATGTCGGGATGAGTTTCAGAGTCCCAACAGGAGAGTAAATGTCTCCCTTACATGGTATCTTCCAGCCACATTGTGCTTCCAACCCTGTAATTTCTAATCTGGCTGGGAACGATGGAAGCCAGGTGGATGACACAAAATTGCAGAAAGACAATCGGGTTTATAAATTTCTTTTCCAGCAGAGGGCAGTCTTGTGCTGCGCTTGTCCATCGCTTGTGCTAAGAAGAGAGAGAAAAAATTAGGAAGTCTAGTTTCATGAGAGGAGAGGAGGGGAGAGGAGAGGAGGGAAGGGAGTGGAAGGGAGGGAACAGGAGAGGAGAGGAGGGGAGAGAAGTGAGGGCAGGAGAAGAGGGGAAGGGAGGGAACAGGAGAGGAGGGGAGGAGAGGGAAGAGATGGGAGGGGACAGGAGAAGAGGGGAGGAGAAGGAAGGGAAGAGAGGGAACAGGAGAGGAGAGAGGGGAGGGGAGAGGAGAGGGAGGGGAGGGGACAGGAGAGGGGAGAGGAGGGGAGGGAAGTGGGGGAGGGGAGGGGAGGGGACAGGAGAAGAGGGAAGGGGAAGGAAGGGAAGGGAGGGAACAGGAGAGAGGGGAGGAGGAGAAGACCTTGGAGGTCATCTAGTCCAACCCCCTGCTCAGGCAGGAGACCCTAGACCATTCCAGACAAATGGCTGTCCAAATCTCTTCTTAAAAACCTCCGGTGTTGGAGAACCCACAACTTCTGGAGGGAAGCTGTTCCACTGGTTAATTGTCTTTGCTATTAGGAAGTTCCTCCTTAATTCCAGGTTGGATCTCTCCTTCACAGGTTTCCATCCCTTATTTCTTGTCTTGCCCTCAGTTGCTTTCAAGAATAGGCTGACCCCCTCCCCCTTCTTTGTGGCAGCCCCTCACGTTTTGGAACACAGCTATTGTGTCGCTCCTGGTCCTTCTCTTTACTGGGTTCTTCTCTTCATTAGCCTAAAAGGCAGAAGCTTTTGCTTTATCAGAAACCGAGACTGGCTAGACGGATGTCGGGAATAATTGGCGTGAAGATGCAGGCAAGGGAGGGGGGCAGCTGTAGGTTATATGTGAGGCAGAGGACAAGTACCTTATCAGTTCACAATTGTCCTCTGTTAAAAGCCCATTATGTTTTTGAGACCTTCTGAAATTGCCTGCAACCTTTGGATGTTTACGAGGTCAGCAACCTTAGACTGAATAATGGAGTTAAAAAGTTCCTAAAGTGCCACTTTGAGGTCTGCCATGGAGCTTCCTAGGAAGTTGAGATGTTCCAATACTCCATTGTTTTTTTTCTGAACCCTGACCTGTCCATTAAATCTTTTAGACAGTTGTCCCTTTTCTCCCAAGAGAAGAGGGGCCTCCAACCTTGGCCACTTTAAGACTTGTGGACTTCAATTCCCAGAGTTCCCCAGCCAGCATAGCCAGCATGAAGTCCACAAGTCTTAAAGTGGCCAAGGTTGGAGACCCCTACTAGAGAGAATCCAGAGAGTGTGTCAGTTTTAGGCTCTGTGTGATATGCCTATCTATAAGCTAAACATGGTTTACTCAACTCATCCTTTAGTCTTTTCATAACGTATCGAACCCTAAAAAGACCACACTGGTTGGCTGTTCACAACTTATGAAGCTAAAATGAAATGTGTGGTTCCATGAATGGGCAGAGACAAAATACAGATTAAATCAATATATGTGATTCCCCATAGCATCAATTTCACGAGAATTAATTAATTCCCATAAGCCCTCTTCTTCTCAGGCGGCTTGTTCTGGTCTACCATACATTACTGAAACTTATTTCTTTATTTCCATTATGTTCCCTTGGGGAAAATGTAAGGGGAAGGTTACCCTGAACAGAAAAAAAGCAGAGATCTCTCTGATGGTTCCATTTGGAACAGAAGAACCAAATTCCTTCCTTTATTTATTTACTTGTAAAATTTATTAGCCACCCATCTTACTGTAAAGTAAACTCTGGGCAGCTTTCACAGTTTATGAATAACAGAATAGCAGAGTTGGAAGTCTTTCTAGTCCAATTCTCTGAAAGCAGAGCTTACAATATTAAAAGATAAAATTGTACGAAACCCTACTGATATAAATACATATTATAAAAATCCAGATAATCAACCTAGCTAAAAAAATGGGGAGGGAGGTAGTAGGATGAGAAAGGGAAGGGGTGGGATCTGTTGTTAATCTATCAATCACCCCCAGTGTGAAGCAGGAAAAACCAAAGATACAAGTACAGATAAAGTGAAACCTGGCTCAAAAACGGCAACTGTGAGAGGGACCTTGGAGTCCTAGTGGAGGATCACTCAAACATGAGCCAGCAACATGTGGCAGCAGCCAAAAAAGATAATACAATCTTTGGTTGTATAAACAGAGGCATAGAATCAAAATCATGTGAAGTATTACTACCGCTTTCTTGAAGCCTTAGTAAGGCCACAACTGGAACACTGCATCCAGTTTTGGTCACCTCATTACAAAAAAGATGTTGAGACTTTGGAAAAAGTGCAAAGAAGAGCAACTAAGATGATTAAAGGCCTGGAGACTAAAGCATATGAGGAGTGGTTGCAAGATGGCCAGTCTAGAGAAAAAAAGGACTAGGGGGGACATGATAGCATTATTCCAATATTTGAGGGGCTGCCACAAAGAGGAGGGGCTCAACCTATTTTCCAAAGCACCAGAAGGCAAGTCAAGAAACAAGGGACATTTCTCCTTGAGTTCTAGGTTGCTTCTCTCCTTGGTTACTTCCCATCCGTTGCTTCTTGTCCTGCCTTCAGGTGCTTTGGAGAATAGCTTGACTCCCTCTTCCTTGTGACGGTCCCTCAGATATTGGAAGACTGCTATCATATCACCCCTTGTCCTTCTTTTCATATAGACTAGAGTTACCCAAATCCTGCATATGTTTTAGCCTCCAGCCCCTTAATTGCTCATCTCTGAACTTTTTCCAGAGTCTCAACTTCTTTTTTATATTGTGGTGATCAAAACTGGATGCAGCATTCCAAGTGCGACATTCTGGAAGTCTTGACAGCCACCCACCTTAACCACTCCTCAGTGGTTCTGCAGCTGTAGCTTCCAGCCTCCCCCTTGCCCCCAACTCAAGACCATGTGGTCCCAGCGAGTAGGAGATGGCTCTGGGAGATGAGACGTTCCCCATTTTGCACGGTCTGCGCAGCCCCTCTGCCCTCCTTCGCCCTCCCACCATCTTCTGGCTCCATCGATCATCCATCGCAAGCCGTCTTCAGTCTCCTTGGCTCTTCAGAGCACTTAGCAGAGGCAGCCTGCAGGGTCCTCTGAGATTACTATTACCGTATCTCCACCCTTTCCTCAAACGGTTCCATTCTGCTGGATGGAGGAGGAAAAAATGCTTCGGAGAGAAAACAAAAACTGACAGAAAAAAATATATATCCTGTGATACAGGCAGTCCTTGACTTACGGCCACGACTGCGCGAGACGGTTAAGGATGTACAACAATTTGCCCTGTTTTCCTACCTTTCTTACCACAGTGTGAAGTGAATCACTGCCCTTGGTAAGTTAGTAACACAGTTGTTAAGTGTTGCTGGCTTCCCCATTGGCTTTGTGTGTCAGACAGTTGCAAAAAAGGGGACCACGTGATCCCGGGACACGGCAACCGTCATAAATGTGAGTCAGTGGCCAAGGGTCCGAATTTTGATCACGTGTCCCTGGGGATGTCGCAAGGGTCGTGTGAATAACAATCATGTCACAAACAGTCCCTTAAAGGAATGGTTTTACCTCAAGGGCAATCCTATGTCTCTGCAGTTATTCCTAAATTGCAACAAATTTGTTGATTTTTTTCATAAGGAGCATCTCTTTGGATAGGGTAAAGGATTTTAAAATCGTAAGTCACCTTTTTCAGGGCTGTTGTAACTTCAAACGGTCCCTAAACGAAGTTGTTAGTCAAGGACTCTCTGTACATCCAAGATCCTGGATCTGGATAATTTTTAGCAGTCTTACTAATTTATTGTGCAGGTGGGAAGAGAAATTGCTTCTTTCCTCACCCATGAAGTGATAGTGACATTTCCTTTGTAAATAAACACCCCCCCCCCATTGTACCATTGACAAGTCATCAACTCCCAAAGAGCGTTAGAGGTTCTTTCCCTGTAATTTTGCAGCAGTTTTATTGTTCTTATAAATCCATGCTAAACACACACCCATACACATCTTATGAAATCATGAAACAACCCTCAGGAAATACAACATTTGTTTGCCTTAATTGCATTTCAGATGATTTGTGGATTTATTTGGCCATGTATGGGCACAGCCATCACCAGTGCACAAACGTATTAGAAGCAAAATTAAAATGGGAGGACCGGTTTTCCGGACTTTTTAAATCACAGGATTTTTTCCCTCAAAAATCTGGCTTGTTGGGCTCTTAAGAAACTATGACCATAAAAAAAAAAGATTTTTCTTAGATCCTGGCTACTTAGGAGGAGAATGAACAAACCCCATTCTCTCCCATGAGAGAGATGTGCTAGCATCATTTATGATTTATTATGTTGGCTGCAGATTCTGGGAACTGCAGTTTAAAATTGTCTGGAAAGGCACCGTATGAGAGTTCGGACTGGAGAACTTAGCCCAGGTTTTCATTGTTACCAATCTGGCAAATTCATTTCAATGAATTAAAGACTTCAAAAAAAAAATATATCAATGCTAACCTATGGTCGTATGAAGGGGGGGGGCATTTCTCCAAACACATGCGCTTAATTTGTAATTGCCTAACGGATCCTTTTTGCAAGACATTCTCCCTTAAGAGGATGCATTGATGTGCATTATGTTCATGGCTATACAGTCTTTTGATAGGCTTCCCCCCTTTTTAAACATATTAAATGACACTGAAAAACTGAGAAATTTATGACTGTTGGAAGAGAATGAAGTTTCAACTTGTATTCTGGATTGAAAAGGTAAAAGTGCAGATATTCACATTCACGTGGAAGCTAAATTAATTTCACTTCCCTCCCTAGTGGAGACTGCAGCCCCTTTCCTTTCCTTTCCTTTCCTTTCCTTTCCTTTCCTTTCCTTTCCTTTCCTTTCCTTTCCTTTCCTTTCCTCTTTCCTTTCCCTTCCCTTCCCCCCTCCCTCCTTCCCTCCCTCCCTCTCCCTCCATCCTTCCTTTCCTTTCCTTTCCTTTCCTTTCCTTTCCTTTCCTCTCCTCTCCTCTCCTCTCCTCTCCTCTCCTCTCCTCTCCTCTCCTCTCCTCTCCTCTCCTTTCCTTTCCTTTCCTCTCCTCTCCTTTCCTTTCCTTCCCTTTCCTTTCCTCTTTCCTTTCCTTTCCTTTTCTCTTTCCTTTCTTTCCCTTCCCTTCCCTTCCCTTTCTCTATTTCCTTTCCTTCCCCCCTCCTTCCTTCCCTCCCTCCCTCCCTCCCTCCCTTCCTTTCCCTATCCTCCCTTCCTTCCTCTGTTATCTCTGGCCACCATGCCTCCATTTCTGGAAAACAGATCTTCTCTTCTTCCTGCTGCTCCAATATTTTTCCCTGCCGATCAGAAAAGAGCTGCCTCTTCTGAAAGCGGAGACTTTGCAAGAGAAGGTGGACAATGAGCCGGCAGGGTCCCCCCTCCTGGGACGTTTTCCACCCATCCTTCAGTTTGTAAACTGCTCAGAATCACCTTACAAAGATGGGGGGTATAAGCATTTAATAAATCAGTTTGGCTAGATTGCGCCAGGCGCTGTCCCACTTAGTCAGGTCTGCTTTGGGCTCCACACCAAACCGTTTCCACTTCAATCAGGGGTGTCCACAGGAAAGTCGGTCAAAAAAGTCAAGATGTCAGCCCCACCCACAGGATCAAAGCTCCAAAGGGTGGAAATTGATCGGGGGGGGGGAAGGGCAGGGCTGGGGGGGGGGCGCTGACCAGCTTGACTTTTCTGTATCCTCTGGCGTTGTGCAGTGATGGGAGTCTGAGCCAACATTTAATTCAGAAAACAGATCCTGCATCAAAGTTACCTGATGGGAAGAAGAACAGCAGCTGGCCGGGGCCAAAGCTGCTCTGAGTCATCCCACACCTGGCCTTGGCAGGCGAGCACCGTAATTCACTTACCTGTGTGGCCAGCTAGGCCCCCCAGGGCTGCCTGATGCTGTGAGGTCAGGCAAAAGAGGAAAGATTCAGTGGCAGATGAGGAAAGCCAATCTCTCTCTCTCTCTCTCTCTCTCTTTCTTTCTCTCTCTCTCTCTCTCTCTCTCTCTCTTACACACACACACACACACACACAATCTCTTTCTCTTCTCTCTCTCTGTCTCCCTCTCTCAATCTTTCTCCTCTCTTCCTCAATCTCTTTTGCTCTCCTCTCTCAATCTTTCTCTTCTCTCTCTCTCTCCCTCTCCCTCTCTCAATCTCTTTCTCCTCTTAATCTATCTTTCTTTCTCTCTCTCTCAATCTCTTTCTACTCTCTCTCTTCCTCAATCTCTTTTGCTCTCCCCTCTCAATCTCTTTCTCTTCTCTCTCTCTCTCTCTCTCCCTCTCTCAATCTCTTTCTCCTCTTAATCTCTCTTTCTCTCTCTCTCTCTCTCAATCTCTTTCTACTCTCTCTCTCTTCCTCAATCTCTTTTGCTCTCCCCTCTCAATCTCTTTCTCTTCTCTCTCNTCTCTTTCTCCTCTTAATCTCTCTTTCTTTCTTTCTCTCTCTCTCAATCTCTTTCTACTCTCTCTCTCTTTCTCAATCTCTTTTGCTCTCCTCTCTCTCTCTCTCCCCCTCCTGCTCTTCCAAGGAGGGGGCGTGGGGGGGGTCTGTCCTCCCCCTCCCCTTTTGTTTCCCCTCGCAAGAGCCCCACAACTGCCTGACATCCCGCGTCACCCATTCAGCGCGTGGAGAAGGAAGAAGGGAGAAACGGGGGGGGGGGAAACCGCGCTCCCCCCCCGCCGCAGCTCCTCTCAAAAGGCGCCCGCAGCCTCGCCCGGCGCTCACAGGGCGCGGAGGAAGCGCGGAGGAGAGTTGGGCATGCCTCTCCCAACTTTTGCCCGAGAGGGGCGGCGGCGGCGGCGGTGTCGTCTGCAGGGGAGAAGCTCCGGGGTCCTCCGGTCCGGGGTCCCTGCGGGGCTGTGAGCTGCCCGTCGGCGAGAGGGGCCGAAAGGAAAGGAGCGGCCATGGGGGGCATCATCTGCCGGGCTGAGCCTTAGCAGCAGGAACGCTCGGAGTCTGCAGCTGGCAGAGCAGAGGCTTCCCCGGGTCGAATCCCAGGATGGGAGCAGGTCCCGGCCCCTCCGTTGCTCTCCCCCTGGCCTTCTGCCCCTCCTCCTCTTCCTCTGGATCCGGTACAAATGGAGGCGTCTGAAGGGTGGCCCTCCAGGCGCCCCTGAAGCTGAGAAGCTAGCCCCCCCCTCCCTTGGGTGGGCCACATCAACAGGACCATGGGCACCTTAGAGGGCCAGGAGAGCTACAGCCTCCAAGCCACGGCCACCATCGCTGCGGTCACCACTTTCCTGATCCTGTTCACCATCTTCGGCAACGTCCTGGTGATCATCGCCGTCTTGACCAGCCGGTCCCTGAAGGCTCCTCAGAACCTCTTCCTGGTGTCCCTGGCGGCTGCGGACATCCTGGTGGCCACCCTCATCATCCCCTTCTCCCTGGTCAACGAGCTGATGGGCTACTGGTACTTCAGCAAGAGCTGGTGCAAATCCTACCTGGCGCTGGATGTCCTCTTCTGCACGGCTTCCATTGTGCATCTCTGTGCCATCAGCCTGGACCGCTACTGGTCGGTCAGCCAGGCCATCGAGTACAATTTCAAGAGGACCCCCCGGCGAATAAAGTGCATCATCCTGGTGGTGTGGCTGATTTCGGCCTTGATCTCCCTGCCCCCGCTGGTCCTCAAGGAGAACCAGGGCCAGGCCCAAGAGGACGTACCCACGTGCGAACTTAACAAAGAGCCGTGGTATGTCCTGTCCTCCAGCACCTGCTCCTTCTTTGCTCCCTGTGTCATCATGATTTTGGTGTATCTCAGGATCTATTTTATAGCCAGGCGCCGGAACAGACACGGCTCTCAAGCTCAGGTGCCCAAAGAGAAAGCCGGAGACGAGAAGCCACCGAACAAGGTGAGCCCACCTGATGCTGCTCTTCCCAAGCAGGACCAGGCAAGGCCAGGAGGGAAAGTGGAGTCCAATGGACTTCAGGTCCCTCCTCAGGAAGGCGACCAAGCAGACTCCCATTCGGTCTCCACCAAAACCTTTTCTCTCCAAAGCCAGGATGGCAGAGCCCCAGAGCCAGACTCTGCCGGTAGCCCTTCCCCATCCTTGCCAGAGAAGAAACCATCTTCGGAATCCAGCCCCGTGGACTGCCTGCCCCGGAACAACGTCCAGAGAAGCAACGGAGCTCCTTCCAGCTCTCCACCAGCCATGGACACCTTGGCCACGGCCAGAGGGGAGGTCCTGCTGGTGAGGAAAGTGAAGACCCTCAGTGCCAACCCCTGGAAGAGGAAGACCCACCTCAACCGAGAGAAGAGATTCACCTTTGTTCTCACGGTGGTGATTGGGGTTTTTGTGATTTGTTGGTTCCCCTTTTTTTTCCTCTACAGCCTGCGGGCCATCTGCCCCTCGGACTATTGCTCCATCCCGGAGAGCACCTTCAAGTTTTTCTTCTGGATCGGCTACTGCAATAGCTCCTTGAACCCCGTCATCTACACCATCTTCAACCAGGACTTCCGCAAAGCCTTCCGGAAGATTCTCTGCCGGCAGTGGACTCAAACGGCTTGGTGAGACCGGCTGCAATCCAACCCCCGGGAGAGACAAAGAGGGAACGTGGTTTGGGTCCACAGGGAACTCTGTAAACAAAAGCCAGAAACCTATTTATTTGGGGCCTTTTGTGTTTGCAGGTGAGGGAGCGAGGTGAGTGCTGGATGTAACGTGGCTTTTTTAGAAAGTTTATTTTGCCTCAGCAGTGGGGAAGCAAGTGTGTGTAAGTTCCAGGGAGACCAGCATGTGTAGAAACCTCCGCACATGGACATGTTTTCTGCCAATGTATGTTTTTCCACTAAAATGACTTGCCAATGTCCAAAGTCTTCTGATTAATTCTTTGGAGGGAAGTTTTTTTTTAATTTCTTCTGCTTTCTGGGCTAAATGAGGGCATGATTAAAGATTGCCAGCTTGGTTCACAAGCCCTGTAACTCTTCAATTTACTAGGGATTGAAAGGCAAATATTAGCAGGTATTTCTATGTACCGAGATTCTGCAAAGAGATAAGGGGAAAATACTGTATTTACGCCTTGTTTTTGTTGCTGTTGCTATTCATCTGCGTTACCCTCCCAGGGAACTCTTAACGGCTTTGGCAATCCACATATAGAAATATTTTGGAGTTAAAGCGTCTGGCCTGGAACACATTGCAAAATAAATCTGCACAGCGTATCTTTCAGCTCAGGAATCTGGGTTTGAAAATTCACTTTCAGGGACAAAAAGGATAGCAGAGGCAACAACTGCCCAAAATAAAATGTGTGCCTTAATACTTGGTCAATGCAGAAGAGAAAAAGTGCCATTTGATCATCCCCACCGTATAAACACATAACGGAGGCAGAGGAGCAGAAGGTGGCCTCCTGGATGGTCAGTGAAATATTTGCTGATGTGGGGATTTGACCATTGTTGACCAATTCCTCTTTTGCTTTTCTCTGTGGCAGGTATGGCTGTCTTTTAAAAACTAGCCGTGCTCTTAAAATCTAGCTGAGAAATCCCAAAGGTGCTTTTCCACGAGGCAACTGGATTTTCTTGTGTTTTTTTTTTTCTTTGAGGACATTTCGCTTCTCATCCAAGAAGCTTCTTCAGCTCTGAGAAACTGAAGAAGCTTCCTGGAGGAGAAGCGAAACATCTTCAAAGAAAAAACAAAAACGCAAGAAAGTCCAGTTGCCTCGTGGAAAAGCATCTTTGGGATAACTATGACCTAGATGACTGAGAATCTCAACGGACATCATCCAGCTGAGAAAGATTTTGCTGTCGGCTCTTTTCCATATCCGTACATTTTTCTATTTCCAACTTTTTTTGCCTGTTCTTAACACAGAAGGAGGATAAGGCTGCTGGGGTTAAAAAAAACAACAACAACCCTCAAGTCACCGTATTTCTCAACCTTGTCAATTTTAAGGCATGTGGACTTCAACTCCCAGAATTCCACAGCCAGCGTTGCTGGCTGTGGAATTCTGGGAGTTGAAGTCCACATGCCTTAAAATTGTCAAGGTTGAGAAACACTGCAGGGTGGGTTCAGCCATATAGTCCTGGGCACTCTCTTGATCTTATGGACTTCCTCTCTGCAGGACGCAGGTACTCCTCAATTTACAACCACAGCCGAGCCCAAAATTTCCGTTGCTAAGCAAGGCAGTTATGTGAATTTTGTCCCATTTTACGACCTGTCTTGCCACCGTTGCTAAGTGGATCACTGCAGTTCTTAAGTTAGTAACACGGTTGTGAAGTGAGTCTGCTTCCCCAGTGGCTGATTGTCAGAAAGCCGCAAAAGGGGAATCTCATGACCCCAGGACACTACGTCCGTCATAAATACGATGCAGCCGTCATATGTAGGAGCTAGTTGCCAAGGGTCCAGATTCTGATCATATGACCAGCCCCCCCACGTGGATGCTGCAAAGGTCATAAGTGGGAGAAATGGTCATAAAGTCACTTTTTTCAGTGCTGTTGTAATTACAGTCACTAAAGGAATGCTTGTTAATCAAGGGCTACCATCAGCAGCTGGTGTTAATCCTAAATTGCAAACATGTGTTGATTTTCATTAAGGATCCTCTGTTTGGATGGGGTAAGGAACTTTAAAACCACTGAAACCTCTAAATCAGCTTTCTCCAACTTGGATCTGTTTAATTCATTAAGGTAGGTTTCACTGATTTATTTTACAAGGTTTGCAAGCATGCCGATCAGCAGCTGCCCGTGAGCATTTTGTAACCCTGCCGTTGGAAAACAGGACCAGAACTAGGAAAGGTGATAAAATAGCAAACATTAACACCCGCAAATGTAATGCAGTAGGTTGAATCTCTGCATGGATGCTATTCCAGAGAAGGGGAGCAACAATTAAGAAGGTCCACTTCTGAGAACCTACTAGATTACTTTTGTTAAGACAGAGAACTTGGTGGGAGCCCACTTTTTCAGATCTAATGGGGAGGCAATTGGAGAACAGATCATCCTGTAGTAGTTGTCTAAACCCCAAGCCTTATGTTGAACTAACCAAGATGGCCATTAGCAGTTGACCCAGATAGGGAAGACTTGATCTAGTAAAGAGGGTTTGATTGGCTAAACCCAGCTTGGTTGCCCTATTACACTCATATGTTGTAACAGTCATAAACCGTCATGGGACTGACTCAATTTTATGATGTTATTTGCAGAGGTTGTTAAGCAAATCATCATGATTGTTTAGCGAGTGCTGCGGTTGTTAAGAGAGAACCAACGGTTTGCTATGGGAGCTGTTTTGCCAAAAATGGGAAATGCTGGTTTTCAGCAAACCATTGTAGAATGCCGTCCCGTGCCTGTGGGATACTGCAAATGGCTGTAAACGTGGCTTTATTGCCACGTACCTGATCACATGACCAACGAAGGGGCCCAACTGTTGGAACTTTGAATCAGGTTATAAGTTTCCTTTTTTGGGTCAGTCATAACTTTGAACCGGTCGTAAGTTGAGAACTACCTGTACACACAAAGGATCTAGGATGGTGTTTGCTGGCTGGGGAATTCTGGGAATTGAAGCCCACATATCTTCAAGCTGCCATGGTTGAGAAACACTGATAGGACTTTAAAATCTTGCATCAAGGAGGTAGAGGTGGAAAACTAAACATATAGTAGTGTGTGTGTGTGTGTACACACCAGTTATGCAATAATGGCCACAAATAGATATGAATTTGGCAAATTGCCTGGGGAAGTAAGTTCTGTAGTTCTGGAGTAACAGCTCAGAATACCTAGGCTGTATATAGCTGGAAATGTAAACACACCCTTTCAATAATTGGAAGAGTCTACAGATTTGTAATTTGAGGTGGTGGTGGTGGGGGTTATCTAGTTCTTTCTGCTGGGATACACCACTCATCCAGACAGTTCTTATCTCATTACAGTGATGGCTGGAAAGCACTATAAAATGCTAGAGTGGGTTGTCTCCAGGAGGCCTACCATGAATTGTTTTTGAAACAAGAAGAACCCCTGGCAGAGAATTCTGGGATCTGAACCCATTACATTTGCAGGAAGGAGGTGCTGGTGGAGGTGTCCAGCCTGAACCACAATCATCATCATCATCATCATCCTCTCCTTCTCCTTCTCCTCCTCCTCTTCCTCCTCCTCCTGCTCTTTGAGTCCAAGCCACACTTGTGTCCCTTATTTCATGAGATTTTGCAAAAAATGACACAAATTAGGTCATTTATGATGCAAGTTGTTTAGATTGCAGTGTGAATTTGCCTGGTGACCTATAACATACCCAGTGAAACACAAATTGCATAATAATGATATGCTGGCTAAGGAATTCTGAGAGTTGACGTCTACCCATTTTAAAAGAGGTTGGTTGGCTCTGGGGATTGAGGTCCACACATCTTAAAGTTGCCAAAGTTGAAAAGCACTGGGGTAAGCAGTACGAACTGTAGCACCCAGAGACAACTTGATAGCATATCTTATCTATGACTTGTTCTCAACTTCTGACAGTTGAACCTCTGGTGGAGATAATTTGAGTCTATCATCTCTAGGCTGATGGACTAGCCTTATAGATGGTCTGTTGACCTCTCTTGTTAATAGCTTGGGGACCCAGATAAAGAAGTAGGCTGAGCTGTTGCATGCTAGATCATCAGCATGACATTTTGCTAATGAGCTAGCAATGCAACTGCTCAGCAGCATCCTTTATCAGGGGTCAGAGAAGAGAACTCACACGTTGCCTTTTTTATCTTAATTGTTACAAGTAGCCACACAGATAACAGACTCAGAGGCAGGACAATTCCCAGGATGATGCCCAACCAGTAACTTTTGAAGTGGGCGTTTGGAGTACAGCGCAAAGCTTGCTATGTAAGAGCGATTCAACAGCTTGTTAGAGTAGAGCAGAGATTTTAAAACTTGGCAACTTTAACATGTGTCGGCTTCAACTCACAGAATTCCCAGAGTTGAGGTCCATCCTTGCATGATCTTGATTCTATGCCTCTGTTTATATAACCCAGGATTGTTTTACCTTTTTTGGCTGCTGTTGCACACTGCTGGCTCATGGTTAAGTGATCGTCCACTAGGACTCCAATGTCCCTCTCACAATTACTGTTGCCTAATCTATATTTGTACCTTTGATTTTTCCTATCTAAATGTAAAGCTTTGCTTTTCTCCACATTGAAACTCATTTTGTTGGATAGGGCCCATTCTTCAAGTTTCTCAAGATCTTTTTGGATCCTGAGTTTGTCTTCTGGGGTGTTGGCTACCCCTGTTAGTTTGGTGACATCTGCCAATTTGATGAGTTCCCCTTCAATTCCCTCATCTAAATCATTTATGAAGATATTGAAGAGTACTGGGCCTAAGACAGAACCTTGTGGTACCCCACTGCTTATTCTCTCCATGTGGATGTGGTGCCATTTGAGGACTACTCCTTGAGTACGATTTGCCAGCCGGCTACAGATCCATCTGGTGGTGATGTTGTCTATTCCATCTTTTTCTAGCTTACCAAGCAGCAGGTTGTGGTCTACTTTGTCACATGCCTTACCGAAATCTAAGTATACTATGTCCACAGTGTTTCACTGGTCTACTAATTTAGTCACTTTATCAAAGAATGAAATAAGATTGGTTTGGCATCATTTGTTTTTAACAAACCCATGCTGGCTGCTAGTTATAACTTTGCTTCTAGTTGCTCGCAGATCTGTTTTTTGATTATCTTTTCCAAGATCTTCCCAGGTATTGATTTTAGACTGATTGGTCTGTAGCTTCCTGGGTCCGTTTTTTTTCCCTTTCTTGAAGATGGGAACCACATCAGCCTTTTCCAATCCTCAGGTATTTCCCCGGTGCTCCAGGATTTTTGAAAGATGTGGTGCAATGGTTCTGAGATAACATCTGCCAGCTCCTT